AATGCTTTCCACTTCACAGAGATCTTGTGTAATCCTTAAACTCTTAGTAAGATATACCATTTTACAGACCTTCATTCTATAGATCAAGAAACTGAAGCTAAGAAAGATTAAATTATACCATCTCCTAGCTCATAAGTACTACAGTCAGATTTTTGTAACTTAAAATGCAAACTTGACAAATTACTCTTCAACTGATTCGTCTAAACTGTAGTACAACATCAAACATGAAAGCACACTCAACAATATCAGACACTTTAATAACCAAATTGGCCATCTGCTCATTATCAGACAGGGTTTGGATTCTTTTTAATTACTTGGTGAGCATGTCTACTGACAAAGTAATATCTCAATGAGAGCAGTGGATTGATTTACTGTTGTTTCTGGAGCAGATACTGCACTGTCTTTTAGAAGTCATTAATTACATAATTCTGAAAAAAAGCAGTCTCATCTCTAACAAGGATCTCTATACAAAAGGACTAAATTGAGATCCATATGTATAGTTCATTGAATCCCTCCTTTTTATAGCATCCTTAGTGTCATCATCTAAGGACAAATGAAAACTCCATCCTGGGCCTCCCCGGTGGCGCAGCAGTTGAGCGCTGGGTTGCGAAGCTGCCTGCGGCCTCTGTAGTGCCGGTTCGATCCCCGGCTGCTCCCCGGCCATCGGAGGAGGGTCCCACATGGCGCGCAGACCTCTCCTGCCGCCCGCTGCTCCCCTCAGCAGTGTACTTGGGTCCTTCTGCCTGCTCTGCTCCCCGCTCTGGCTCTGGTGAATTCTCTCACCCTCCCGTGCTTCTGACTGTACCCAGTGCATGTATAAACAAAAACAAAACAAACAAACAAATAAATAAAAATAAAAACATGCCTCTATAAAAAAAAAAATTAGTTCAAAATCATTAAAAAAAAAAAAAAAGAAAACTCCATCCTTTATTGTGGGGTTGTCCCTTTCTCACTCTGCTTCTGAAGTATGTTTGGACATAGCATTCCCATGGAATGTAAGGTCCTTCATGTGAGGCTCTTTTTTTTTTTAAAGATTTATTTATGTATGCATTCAAGAGCTGGGGTGCAGGCCAGACGTGTGGGGGGTGAGAGGATTCACCAGAGACAGAGTGGGGAACAGAACAGGCAGACTGACTGAAATACACTGCTGAGGGGAGCAGTGGGCGAGTCAGAAGAGGTCTGCTGTGCTCATGTGAGGCTCTTTCTAAATGATGCAGAGGGCCTCCCTGGTGGCTCAAGGGATTAATAAGCACAGAGCACTGTGAAGCTGTCCTCAGTCTGCCTGTTCTGTTCCCCCCTCTGTCTCTGGTGAATTTTCTCACACACACCCCCATGCCTCTGTCCCATACCCCACTTCTTGTATGCATAAATAAATAAAATCTTTTTTTTAAAAAAAGGAAAAAAAAATAAAGGATGTAGAGTGAAAAATTGAGAGGATCACAATTCAATAAGCAGGAAGAGTTCCAGTCTTAATTGGAAATGTCCTCCATATTTTCTCATATTCAAACCTATGCATAAAACTTGTAGACTGAAAAAAATCCTGTGAATGTTTTAAAGCCATGATGGCAATAAGCGTTCAATTCTTGTAAAGGAAAAAATAGAGTAAATTTTTAAATGCCCAAATGTTTTGCCCTTAATAAACAATCTACATTAAAGTGCCACTAAGTATTCAGCTAAGTGAAATAAAATGGAAAGAGAAAGACAAATACTGCATGGTATCACCTATATGTGGAATTTTTTAAAAGTCAAATTCATAGAAACAGAGAGTAAAGAGTGGTTGCCATGGACTGTGGGCTGGGATGGGGGGGTGGCAGAAGGGAAAATAAGGAGAGATAGAGCACAAAGTTTCAATCTTAGGATAATAAGATCTGAGCATAGAATGCAAAATAATGTGACTAAAGCTGATAATACTCTATTGTGTAACTGAAATTTAGTTTCTAACACACTTCCTGGAAAAAGAGCTAAATGTGCTAAGAGCAGCACTTTAATGTGCTCATCAAAAATAAATAGAGGAGAGATAGATAAATAGCGGTGATGGATGTAGTAATTAACTAGATGGTAGGAATTGTTTCACAATGTACACATATATCAAATCATCACATGATACACTTTAAAAATCTACAACTTTTTCAATTATACTTCAATAAATTTGGGAAAAAATAAGTGCCATTATGTTAATGTTAAACTTTTTGGGTCTGAACTTTACCATAGTTTCGCTGTTCCCAGATAAAATAGATTTTCAAAATAACTTATATGAGAAACAAACAATATCCTTTAGGGAAATCTTAGCCTAAATTACATACTAACTTGCATTTCAACTTTTTTTGTATGTCTGATCTCTGTTGAAATTCATTGCTACATTTCTCAACATCTTATTAGTTTTAATTTAGCTCAATATCTTACTAGTTTTAAAATCAACCACTTGCTACAGGTCATTGCACTAAATTATTTTAGTTTGATCACCTTTCTTTAGCCTCCAAACCAGTACTAAGAATGTATTAAATAGCATTTTCGCTCATATTTTGCAGATGAAGAAATTGAAGTGTTCATGTCAGAATAGTTAGCATAGGGATGAGATCTGAGCTACAAGTCTGAGTGCAGGACCCACATTCTCCCCCACTACATGAGGAGATCTGGCAATATCAGCACATTGGTTTAGTTACTTTATTAGATCCTTCAAGCCAACAGAATGTCGGCATCTAGCCAAGACATAAGGAAATCTCTGCACCACACAGTTAAAAGATGCTAGAGGATTTGAGAGATAATGCACTAAGTGTCATGCTACTCTGCCCTAACCTGTGATGATAATGATGTCATTATCTTTCCTAGGATATATAATCATAAAATCATAATGGATTTTATGGGTCGGGAGATTTGTTACAAATTGAACCCAGTCGGCTGCCTAGTCCCAGATCTCTCTCTAGCACATAACAAATTGAAACACAGAAAAATTGGGATGAATATTTTTTTCCTGTCTGAAAAACAACAGCATGATTTCATGCAAAAACACTGCATTGAACAAGAGGGGACCAGGCCATTAACCCCCCAAAAGTGAATTTGTCAGGCTGCTTGTCCTCTTTGGACCCAATTCTTTTCATCAATAGTGCCAAGAAGCTCATTCATTCAAAAAAAATTCAACAAAATTTTATTAAATGTTTATTATGAACCAAGCCCTATGCTAGATGCTGGGATAGCAAGACTGTAAGAGATAGTTATTCCCATCTAGGAGCTTAGTTGGGGAGAAAAAATGTTTCGTTTAGTTGGGGAGAAAAAAACAAGTAAGTAATTATAATTCTGGGTGGTGTGTGTAACGATGTAAGTATCCAGTATGCTCTGTGGCAAGAACTAGAAAATGAACCCAACCTAGGAGGGGTGGGAGTGTTCAGACAAGGTTTCCTGGAGGAGATGAGAACCAACATGAGCCCTGAAAGGATGAGAATAAGTTATCCAAATAAAGAGAGGTGGGAAGGAGTGGGTGAGAAGGACAGGGAAAGAGCATTTCAGGAACAACGTACAAAACCTATGGATAAGAGGACAGGAGTGTGCCTGCAGGCCTGTAAGGAGTTCAGAATGGCTACAGCTTTGTGGGTGTGCACCTATGGGTGTGCACTTGTGGGTGTGCAGGTGGGCTGACAGTTGAGGAGGGTGGATTGAACAGAAGTGAGGGATGGTGGAGCTGCAGGAGCTGATCATACAACAGTCGGAGAGGAATACCATGAATATCCTGACCCGAAAGTAATGGGGAGAGGATAATGAGTTAAGGAAGGGGGTGGCATCATTAGATGACTTTTTAAAGGGACATTCTGGAGTACAGAGAATAATTTGTGGGCAGCAAACCTGGAGAACAGTAGGTGGGATAGGAGGCTTTGGTACAGATCTAACGCAGTGGTTCTGAACTTGAGTGGGCAAGTGTAGTTAAAATAATGATTGCAGGGTCTCAGTCCAGAGTTTCTGAAAGGGTAGATCTTGAGTGTGACTTGAGAATGTGCATCTGTAACAAGTTCCCCTGTGATGCTGATGCTACTCCTGCAGGGATCATACTTTGAGAACCACAGTTTGAAGCAATGTTGATTGCTAATTCTAAAATTCTGGGATGCTTCCTTATTAAAAAGCAGTTATTCTTTCATGAATATATATTTAATGAAAACCTGATTTTATCCAAAAACATTTTTTTTAAGATGAATGTAGGCCTATTTATAAATTGAATTTATTATTGCTATCCTAAATCATTCTTATTTGTTCCAACTTTGTTTCTTTTCTTTTTCCAAGCTTAATTTTATATGATCCACTAGTGAAAAATCTCATGGTACATCCAGTAATTTGCAACAGGATTAAAAAGCTGAAATGCCACTGACTTGACTAAATCCTTTGTTTCACTGAAACACAATAGACCAATTGAAGGTTGTAAAATTTGGACTCTGATTTAAGAAGTGAAACCTTACAGGGGGAAAAATTATGATTGGCTTACATGGATTTAAAAACCCACTCCCCTTATTTTGCACTGGAAAAAAATAGGTTAAGATTGTGAAACACGTACAAACCCAGTAATCACAAATTCCTTTTCTTATCAAGAGTCTAGGAAATAACATTATAACAAGGAGAAACAAAGTCTCTTCAGAAAAAAAAAAAAAAGGAATTCTGTTATTTTAGAACAAGGCCTGCATTCCCCTAAGTTTCAGTATAGTTGAAGCAAAAGTTCTGTTAGATTTTTTTTTTTTAATTTAAAGGACAGTGAATCTGAACAAACATTCAGTTGTTCCTACTTAAAGGTGGACTATTCATCCTGCAGAATTATTTTAGCAACACAGAGTCTGTTAGTGTTGAAACAAAGCACCTAAAATGTGGTAAAAATAATCAACATGTAAATTTTACCAACACGATCTTTTAGGAGTTTAACTCCAGTGATTCTACATGGCACTATCTTTCATCACAATCATACCTGAGGTGTGCCTTCACCAGTTAATTTCTCAGTATCAGCTGTTTTCCTCAGAAAGTCTCACCTCATTATGCTTGTCCCAAGCATCCCAGTTACAGTTCAGGAACATCACAGTTCCCTTGAAAATGCAAGGATACCTTCATATTACTGAAAAACGATAGTTACCTGAATCTTAGTAGAAGGCTATGTGCAGCCAAAATAACCAATGAAAGGGACTAATGAAGCTGATTCTATCAATTCAGGCATTCTCTCTTTGCTAAGTAACTCTGTTTGTGAACTCACAATTGGTTTCACTAGAAAGGATTACAGCATCCCAAGCAGTGGGCCATAATTATAATTACAGGTGTGGTGCAGACTGCAAGAGCAGATGAGCTCATAAGAAACAAAGATTTGCTCTGCTGGATGGTCTATCTTCACTAAAGAACAAAGAGTAGGCACAAAAATGAGTTACCATCTAAACAAATTGAGTAATCACCGACATACAACAGAGCGTGTGTTCCTCAGCCAATATACACACCTCTGTGTTATGCTGAACCTCTCTTCACCACCTCCATCCTTGCCCTGGTGGAGGTGAATTTTATTTCTCTGTACTCTCCTGACCTTCTCTCGGTGGGCAGGGGTTTAATGGTTAACAGCACCGAAGCTTTCAATCCCCTCATCTTTCGCTCCCTGGCCCCACCCCAGTCTGTGTTGCAACTACCATAAGAGGACAACCGTCAATGACCTTGAATGAGAATGTTAAGGTTTCCTTTCTCTGTCAACCAGAAAAAGGACAGTAAACCAAGCTTTTCTTTAGGGGTCGATGATGAAAGTGGTATGCGCTGATTTTATTCTTTAGAAAGTCCCCTTTGGCCCAACAGTGAATTGGGTTGGATTTTAAGCTAATTGGAGCAACATGCTTTACTTCCTGCTTTCAAGATTAATATAAAAGCAATTTACAGGGCTACCAGCCAAGTCTCCACTGGCAAAATGAATCAGAAGAGTACAGTAATTATGCAATTAATCAAGAAAAGAAAAGAGAGCTACAAGAGGCCTTATGTGTCTCCATTTAGGTGTGGGGATTGCATCCCCTTGTTCTCCTTTCTGTTTTGGCTGTGCTCTCCTGCTTGATCTGTACCATCTGGGCTGGATGGGCAAGGACACTGGGGAGGGCTCATAGAGGTTAAGGTTTCAGCGTGGCCTTGCAAAATATCAGGAGGAGGATTAGAAGCTATAAGCTAAGGTTGCTTTTTGAGGGGAAGAGGCGAATATAAAGGAAACTTAAAGAACGAAATTTAAAGTAAGATTCATTCTTCCTCCACTGCTTTTGTTGTGTGGGAATCAAAGTTTTAAAACAACGTCTTTCATAACAATTTTGGTTTGAAGCCTCCATCCTGGAGGGTGACAGTTGATTGAAACATATGTGTGTTTCGGTGAGGGGGGCGCACCTCATTTGTTGAAGTAAGGGACAGCTTTTAAAAAATGACGGGCAGCGCTTGCTTAGGATTCCGTAGGATAGAAAGGACCCTGAAAATTTAATAGAAATAGTTTATTCTCTGTCTTTAGTGGCGAAAATCGCATGCCTGTGCTATTTTGCAGACATTGGTTGCTACATGGAACTTTGAGAGCAGAAGAGAAAGTTCAGTGTGTACCAAGTGTGACTGCTCGAAAGGGGGATGGCAGCAAGCACGACCTTGACATTGCATGGAAAAGAATCACAGTATTATACCCTCAGGCCAGCAGGACAAAGAAGAATGAGAGAACCAAGCCCCCTGGAAGCTATTAAAGATTAGAGTCATTAACAGACAAGCTCCTTTCAACAGTGACCTCTGTTTCCCAGGACTGCCTGCCAGGCTTTTTGGTTCCTTTTCTCAGGATCCTGCAGAAAAGGGACTAAGGCCTGCTGCTAGGCTCTGCCTGGAAACACAACACGCAAAAGTCAATTCAGACATGCTTGTCACTTGAGGCAGCGATCCCGGCCAACAGAGCAAGTGCGTTGGGTCTCCTGGAAATGTCAAGGCACCAGGTTATGTTTCCTTGCCTCTGCGTGGGAGGGGAGGACAGAGACCGGCCTTGGCACTTTGAAACCTTTATCCTTACTAGTTGTTTACCTGACTCCAAGTTACTGTGAAAAAAAGGTGCCCCGTGGAAGCGCCTGCAGCCGCCCAACCTGGGGTGCAGGAAAGAGCCTAAACCTGGGGGAGCGGGAGGAAGTCTAGAGGCGTGGGTCTTTTGGGCAAGTCTTCTCGGGTGTCTGACATGTAATAACATGGCAGGTTCCAAGGAGCAAGTGTTTTGATGCAGGATAGGAAATCAGGAGTCTGGCGTTCAGATGCAGCAACAAATAGTATATCGAAACATTCTGCTAGAAGTCCTGCTTGGGTAAGATTTTTGCCTAGTAAACATTAATTGGAAATGAATTAACAGTAATTAACAGGAAGTGTTTCTGAAAGGCTTATAAAAATATTGCCCAGTGAAAAGTCTAAAACAAAAGCAAAGTGCACAGAAGGGAAGGGTTGCCCTTAATTTAACCACTGGCACCAAAGGTCATGATTTCAAATACTGTTTATTTCAAATGCTCTGTTGATAGTGAACAGTAAAAGGCCTTCGTAGGTGAGAATCACGTTCTTTTTCTAGGTAAGTGCACTCTCACATGTATGGATCTTGGAGAAGAGCCATTTGAGAGTTTAAGGCCCAGAACTTCCCCATTAAGCATCAGTGTTAAGGGAGCAAGGAGTTAATTTACGTGGTTATTAAAGTCCCTTCTGAGAAGCCTTGACCATGAGGATTAATCTGTACCTTTCCTAAGAATTTAGTGCATGTCATTTTCATTTTTATTTATTTATTTTGCATCTTTGTACATACTTTTCACTGGCCTAGATGCCCCAGCATTTCACATCCAAGGTGAAAGGAAAATAACTCTGCTGTGGGCATTACAAAACTCAGCTTCTTTCATATCAAAACTTGCTTCTTTTGTCTACAATAATTAAGAGCATTTGTTATGTTGCTCATTAAACACAGCAACATAAGCACAAAATGAAACCACCTTTACACTGACTTTAGTTACTGCTAATGATTAATGTGCCAAGTATTTTAATTCTTTCATTCCTTATAAATCTGAGGTTCTGTCCTATTACTATTACCTCACTTTACAGATGAAAAAATAGAGGCAAGAAAAGATAAAGTCATAGAGATAAAAGGGGAGGGAAGTTAAGATTTGAATCCAGCTATATCTATGTATTTTGAGTTTTATGACATAGGAAAATACTTTATCTTCCAAAGGATTTCACTGAGTGATAACTTTGTTTTCTTCACAAACTCAATCATTTTCCTCTATCCCTTAATAAAAAACAAAAAAACAAAACTTCAATTTACCAGAAACTGGTACTTTAAACCAGGGTGGATTTTACTCTTCCAGTCATAGTTAATAACACAATGTAGGGTAAAGGAAAAATGTCAGGCTTTTCTGCCCTCCTGCCATCAGGATTGATGATGGATCCTTGAGGTCCTGAATGCATGCCTGATGGTGGGCAACTGGTGTAGGGTATGGGCATAGGTAGATGGGATTCACCTGGGCTAAGACTGTGCTTTTAAGGGCAGCGTCACAGGGACGCCAGAAGAAGCCGAGAGGAAGCTGAGCAGAAGCCGAGCAGAAGCCGAGCGAGAAGCAAAAGAAGCAGAAGCTGAGAGATGGCCGGAGAGCCTACAGAGTGAAGACCTGCTGGGGGTTGGGAGGCCTGCCAGCTTCCCGGCCCTCCAGCACCCCTGCCTGCCATATGCCTGGTGAACCCCAATAAAAAACCTGCAAAACCCCTGAGGGCTCCAGAATTCCTCCTTTACCCGGTCTGCATGGGATCCTAGAAAACCTGCTCAGTGGCCATTCCTGCCCTGACACACAATCAGACTTTTTTGTGAATAACGTTGCTGCACCTTTTGGTGAGAAATAGAGTACTATAACTATACAATTTATATACTCATTGTTGTCTAAGATTCTGATCTGCTACCTAAAAGAAATTTGCATGTGACATTTAACTTCCAGAAGCAGCAAATATACCACAGTTGGAGGATGAGTCACAATTTAATGGGAAGGGCAGGAATGGAGGTATTTTTGTGTTGCCTCCATTATTTAACTAATTCCTCTCTTCTGATGTTTTCAACAAAGCCAAGTCCACCCAGAAGGAGTAAGAGGTAAGGCCTCTTAGAAATAGATCACAAGTTTTATGTCTCTAAAAGATATATCACGACACATTTTCAATAGGTTAACTAACTGGTCACTATTAACAGGGAGAGGATATAAACATCTCTTTTTAGGGGATGAAATAATTAAAGACTAATAGAATTAAATAACTTGTCTTAAGTTCTTTGACAAGGCAAAAACCAGAATGTCATTATATACTCTCACTTCCTCCCATCAACAGTTTCTAAGCAGCAACATAAAAGTATCTTCCTATATTTTTGAAACCACCAAGTTTTCTTACCCCTGCAGATACAGTGATGCTTTTGTGCTCAAAATCAGTCTCTAAGTTTAAATGGACAATTACAAGCTTGTTACAGGCATGCCTGGTTACAAGGCATCAACAGGCTTTCTGTAATGTTAAAGGAAGCCTCTGAAGGTCTTGGTTTTCATCCTTGCAGTTAATTGTACTCTGTAATGTAGAAGAATATACTACTAGTAGTATTTCTCAACTAATAAAGAACTTTAAAACAAAAACTTCAATGTTGTGTCTGGTATTTCGGTATTTCATTTTTGATGGTCTTTAATAACAGGCATAGGTGGTTGATGGCAAAAGGCCTCTAGGCACATACCTAACAAAACCTCCAGGCTTTACCTGTTACCTAATTCCATAAGGATCTGTCATGTTTTATTGGTTTCTCATTGGTTAGTCATTGTATAGTCTGGCACCATGGTGAAATTTCACATTTTTAGAAATAGTGTGAACAAGGAAAGATCAGATCTTTCTTGTTTTTTAATTTGTTTTCAGTACTTGTAAAATAAAAACAAAAATCCCCACACAGTTGGACAATTATATGTTGCCTCCTGTACTGGTTCAGTCTTTTGGTCAAGGTCATTATATTCATGACTTCAAGTGGGAGGAGAGGTGTCACTGAAATCACAAGGATGGTCTATTAGTTTGGAGAAGAGAAAGGACGCGGCGTTCATCAGAGGGGGAATAGCTAACTGATAGAATGATTAGGCAGGTCTATAGAGTGCTGCAGTTATTTGTGTTGTGTGTGC